ATACGAGTGAGTGAGTAAGAATGGAAAATATAAGAGGGTAAAGGGAAGTCGAAGAAGCAGCTTCATAACCTCTCAAGAGACTTTCGACCGTGTGACACCGACGGCTCATTCTTCCTCTCGGATTAGCATCTCGGCACCAATCAGCGTACAATTACATCATAGGCAGACTTGGCAGAACGCGGAAGTGCCGCTCAGCAGCGATAGATGAAGATAGGTGTTAAAGGTTAAGAACGATCTACATCCTCGACAGATTGCTACGGCGATCAGACGAACAAATAGGAACGCTCACGACGACAACAATATCTCGAGGAGGCTCAAGGAGAAAAGGAAAACGGAGAAGCGATCGAATCTGATATAATACCAGGACGAAGAGACGCGCAACACACGGATCAAGCTACTCACCTGCACACCTCCCCAACGGTTCTTTATTTCTTCTGCCCAGCGAGCCACAGCGGCTTGTTTCTCTTCCTTCTTCTTCTTCTTCTTCCCCTCCTCCTCCTCCTCCGCCTCCTCCTCCTGCTCCTCCTCCACCTCCTCCTCCTTTTCCTTCGTCTCTGCCTCCTCCTCCACCACCACCGCCGCCGCTGCCGCCTCCTCCTCCTCCTCCTCCTCCTCGGCGGCGCGATAAACACATGCACGCGCGCGCGCGCTCCTCCACTCACTTGTTTACCTTCCTGACGGAGCTCTCTCGAGTCGCGGCTGCTCGAGACCCTCTACGCAAGCAGGCAACTCGGAGGCTGGGCCGCGCTCCAGAGCACTTGCCGTGGTAACGACCGAAGACGAGCGCAACGAGTCGACTGATTCGATGGGGGGCCACCCACCTACAACAACGCGCTACGCGTAGAACAACAGCGCCACGACAGAGCTACACTTGTTGGCTGCTGGTGGGTACACCGTTCGAGCCTCCTCTACCACCTCCTCCGCCTCCGCCACCGCCAGCGCAACTCGCAATTTCTTTTCGGCTAAGCATTCGACACCGGCGCTCTCCCGAACTCCACTCCGCGCTCACCGATCTCCTACTAATTCTTATTCCGTCTAGCTTGGCGAGCGCGAGGGGCCGAAGCCCAATAAACCCGACGCTCCCAGCGCCAGTCCGAAAGATGCCTTGCGCACCAAGACTTCGGGCCCCCCCTCTCTCTCTCTCTCTCTCTCTCTCTCTCATTCCCTCCCTCTCCCTCTCCCTCCACCGACCGACCGACCGACCGTTCACTTCCATCATCTGCCGTCATCGGCCCCCACCATGGGCCGTTTTTGCTCTCGCTCCCTCTCTGTCACCCTTCCCCTTCTCGCAAGTCGTCGACGTCGCTGAATGGCGCGCGAGAGCTGCCGCACTTTCAAATTTGTATTTCGTGAAATACTTGGCGCGTATTATGCGAGGGAAGAATCTCGTATTGACTTTACTGAGATCTTCTTTGCAATTGGAGCCAATGCACTGAATATATCGAATGGAAATCAAATATAATAATCGACCCTTATTATAACTTAACATTAATATTTTGTTGTCATCGGTCTGTTATTGGCGTGTGTAATCCTTAAAGAACAAGTGGTTTTTTGAACAATCAAACGTACGACTTTGTTTATCGTACGCATTGCCGGTTTTAGCGGTCATATCTTATAATTGTAAATATTCATAAACTATTTCGCGTATATAGAATGCCACATTTATCATAATACATATAATACTATCGCCTTTTAATGATCATTATTTACTATCTAATTATTTTCATCGGCTAATTTTACTATTTACAATCGTGATAAAGAATTTTTTTGTATGTATCAAAAGCTTCAGCACTCGAGGCCAATGATAAATATTGAGATGTATATTGTATATTGTAATGCCACTTATATCGAGAATGTAGAGCAATTTAAGGGCTAATTTGAGTAAATAATTTTATGTAACAACATTAAATGTGTTCACTTACAGTGAATTTACAATAAATAGCAAAAAATAAAAATAAAAATTTATAACATAATTCACACAAGTGCCTGTATTTAATATTATTATAGCCACCAGTTTTACACTCGATTCTTTTCGTTCAATTTATAAATATAATGACTCATTTTTTCTTTTTCTTCTTTGTATTATTCCGTTCTACATTGCACGATAAAAATACAACATTACAACATTACAATTTAAGGATGCAAATGAGAATCATTAAAGCACTGACAAAACAGTGTAATTGTATTAAAAAAATTCACGTACGATATATTAAGAGTAATGCTGGTAATAATAAGGAGGACTAGAAAAATCTAGCATTAATTATATTAATAAATATGAAAAAATAAAAATGTCAGTAGCTTCTCCTTTCTCAAAAAACACATAATGTGTGTAATATAAAAATTTGATGCTTTCCTATGCTAATGTTATCATGGTAATTAGATTATCATTAGAATATTATGACTATCATATTGAGAATAATTTTTATCGATGTTTCTACGGGACGGTCCGTTTGTCGAATAAATTCGTTAGAAATTTAAAAATTTCTCGTACAACCTGTTTGTTTGCTGAATGTTGAATTAACTTTTGAGATTTGCTTTACCAGCCAATCGCGCAGCTGGAAAGAAAGTAAAGCAGATGATCGTAACCGTCTCATGGCGAATTGTCCAATTTCAAAATAAATTAATCTGTTAACATCGTTGTACGAGCCTTTTGCAAACTGATTTCCGAGCCTACGCGAATTTTTCATAAAATATGTCTCGTTTGATTTTCCATTAGGTATTTCTTTTTAAAGAATATCCTTACATAATTTCAAGGATCACTAGGAGATTAAAAGTGTAAAAATAATATTAATATTTATATTTAAAAGTAATTTTATGAGTACTATTTATTTCTTTCATATTGATACTTTAATTTCACACGTATTATTATATTAACTTACTTTTCATTACTTATCGATTGCTCGTGATGTGTGAATTGCATTAAAAACGACTGTAAAGACTAATTAAGCTTGAAATTTCAATTTTATTCAAATGTCAGATTTAGAGATTTAGATGAAAGACGGTTTACTTACGGTTAAGTGCTACGAAAACATTTGAATTTGGAATATCTGTATCTTGCTGATCCCACAAAGTCTGTATAATACTAATTTTCACAAGTTTATAATTCTAGAACGTTTCAACAAATATTGTAACCGATTTTTTCTCCCCGCTCCCCCCCCCCCCCCCCCCCCCCATATTTTATTCACAATTTCATTTACACACGCAATATTTTGCCTGGCAATTATTATCTTATTATTTTATAAACGAATTCACATGTGTAAACATCAATGATCGACATGCATTACGATCGTTTAGAAAATAGTCGATCTCACTTGAATTTGATCAATAAAAATAATAAAGTATAACGATATAATTGGCAAGAAACTTTAAAAATGTCTTTGCAATATTCGGGTGAAACGCTTAAGGCCTTCGGCTTGTGTCGAAAATTTCGAATCGGCAAAATATAATCTAACGATGAATTTAAAATGAGAATAGTAAAGTAACAGTGTAATTTAAATCATGAAAATTTATTAATTTTTCTTTTTTTCTTGATTTTGGACTTTTTATAAAATCTATTCTACGACATAATCGATGATTTTTATATTAATATACTTTAATTTTATTATCATGCTTCTATACGCATGTGCTCGCACATCTCCATCTACCTTTTTTGAAATTCACAATCCCTCGATCTTTTTATAAGCTCTATAGTCGTATTATATACTTACCATTGCAGCAACGATTAAGCAATTAATAAAACATCAAAGTCGCAATTTAAAAAAGCCACTATCGTGAAAACAAGAGAATTAATTTACAAGTCGTCGCGTACATTATAACCTGTACTAGTCGATTTAAAGTGTTGGGCTAATCTCACTGCTTAAGTCAATTTTTTATTTTCCCTTCTATATTCATTTAATTTGTTGGAATTAAAAATAAGTGAGTACCTGTTATCGCGCGGAAAGAATATTAGAACTGCGAAATATGACGATATCGGAACACAGGACATCCAATCGCTCCAGCCTCTTTTCACTGCCTGTGTCTCCGCTTTTTATCATCCCAATTGTTAAATGTCCTGTGTATTTGATTTGAGAAGAATATTTAATGGAGGTTATGTTGTTGCATAGCCAAGAAAAAGTCCCAAATGAAGAAGTACAATGTTAGTTAGAACTTTTTCATATCAATGGATTTTAATATTCGTGTTAATTGTAATTATATTTTATGAAAATACACGTTTAAATTATTTGGAAGATAGTAGTAAGAAATTAAGTTAGTATATCTTATTACTTCTCTTATGACATTTCAATTTTTTAAATGCAATTTTCCTCAAGCATGTATATATGAATATAATTTATTTTGATTAAATGTTTTCTAGGAGACACTCTTTTGAAAGTTAAGACTGAAACAAAAAGTGATCCTTTACCTCGACATCAACTTCGGATGCAATCAAATAATGATAATTATGTTGTGATATATAATAGAGTTCCAAAAACAGGTTCAACTAGCTTTGTAGGCGTTGTGTATGACTTGTGTAAAAAAAATAAATATCATACGCTGCACATAAACATAACAAATAATATGCACACACTTACACTACCTAATCAAGTAGGTTTTTAATTATTACAATATAAACGTACATCGTTTTCATGGTAACCATGTTATGTGTAACTACAATAATTAAAAGAAATTTTATTCGTCGATTCTTTTAGATACAATTTATTCGTAACATAAGTCAATGGGATTCTATTAAACCAGCATTTTACCATGGACACATGGCTTTTTTAGACTTTAAAAAGTTTGTATCTTCATAAAAGAATCATTGTTTTCATTAAAAATCATAATATATAAATACTAAATACTTTTAGATTTGGCCTTGATATTAGTCCATTGTATATAAATTTATTACGTAAACCATTAGATAGGTTTATTTCATACTACTATTTTTTAAGATACGGAGATAATTTTAGACCACATTTAATTAGAAGGAAACATGGGGATACAAAGACTTTTGACGAATGTATTAATGCAGAACAAGCAGATTGTGATCCTAATAATATGTGGCTTCAGATTCCTTTCCTGTGTGGGCACGATCCAGCTTGCTGGTAAGAAAAATGTCCCATCGCTGGACAAAATGATATAGATACTACAAAATAAATTCTAAATAAACTTATCGTTTATATATTACATATCTTACTAAAAAGAAATATAATAATAATTACTTATATTTTCAATATAAAATCTATTTCTATTCTTAATTATAATAATTAATTTTGTATATATTTATATGTACCGATTGTGTTTCCTTAAGTACTAAGCTTATAATTATATATTATTGTTATTACATATACGTCTTACACATAATCGTAAATATATATTATTATTATTATTATTATTATTCTATTTCTTTCTTCAGGGAAGTGGGTAATGAATGGGCTCTAGAAGAGGCAAAACGTAACTTACAACAGCACTATCTTCTGGTAGGAGTTACCGAAGAATTATCGGATTTTATATTAACTCTTCAGAATATCTTACCACGTTTTTTCAAAGGTGCTCATAATATTTTCATTCATAGTAAGTAATTAAAAAATTCATCCACCATTCAATAAAATTCATATCCTTTATAATTTTAATTTATATATTATAGATAATAAATCTCATTTGCGGCAAACAACACAAAAGATCGATCCACTTCCAGAAACAATTAAGAAAATTCAAAAAACAGTAGTGTGGAAAATGGAGAATAATCTTTATAATTATGCTCTATCTCAATTTCATGCTGTAAAAAAACGTCTTATTAATGCTTCCACCCAAGATGCCAGCCAACGTTTTTTTTATGAAAAAATAAGACCTAAGTAGACTAATTTTAAATCGATTAAGTTTTATACGTTTTATTCGCGTATAAATTAAGACTTATAAACGAGTAGCACATAATTTTCAAATGTGTTTTTAACAAATATTTTTTTATTTGTGATTGACATATGTGTCGAACATGTATATATAAAGTGATTATCAAATTTTAATGTATATGGTAATGTTTTACTTAATTTTATGTACAGAATACTAAAAAATGTATTTTTACAAATTAGTACGATGTGATACTGCAATGTACAGCTATAGTATAATTCGGAAATTGTTCATTACATCATAACATGCATACTTTTAAAAGTATCATCATTTTAAGTCGATACATTTTAGTTCTAATTATCACAAGGTTTTATGGCAAACATGTATACAGGGTATAGTCCATCTGGCATATGGTACTGCCTCTCTTCTTTTATGCACTTAAACCCTGACTTTTCAAATATTGTTAATAAATCGGAATGAGGACGAGTAATCGATGAATCTTCTTTATCAACTTCAACCACGTTAGAACTTGTAACATTTTCTTTAACAACTAGTAGGCCGGTACTTTTTAATGCTTGTCTATGTAAAAGTATATTATTTATTACTATACTATTTAAATTTATTTTAAATAATAAAAGTGTTTATACATTATTTTAAAAACTTACTTGCAGTTTTGAAAAAATTTAATGAGATCGTTGTTATTTAAATGACCTAAGACCCATTGACACCATATGACATCGTATTTTCCTGGTTCTGGACAAAAATCTTGCAAACCTTTGTAAAATATTTAAAAATTTTTTTTATTTTATACAAATATTATTCAATAATACTTAAGACTAAAACGTTTTTGCATCTTAATTTTGTATGAAATTAGATTTTACTAAATACCAAACTACTCTAATAAAAATTTAACATTTATGGAATTGGATAAATTTTTTACATTGCTAAAAAATAATAAAGGAAATAATTTTCTTATACTTTTAATTTTTATATTAAATTATAATTTTTGTTCTATATAGATTAGCTACATTAACAATTATTAGGAAGTAGTCAAGTACCTTTACAGTTTAGTATATTTAATAATCGATTATAGTTGGATATATTTTATTCCAAAACAATTGCCAAACTGAAATATAAGCAAAGTATTTATGTAATAGACTTAATTATTTAATTTATTCAATGACTCTGATTATTTAACATAATTTAATCATGAGTACTTTTTAAGAATTTATAATTAGCTATAGCACTAATTTAGTAATAAATCAGTGAGTCATAAAAATAAAAAAATTAATTAATAATTACAAATTTATGCTTATATTATAAACTATGAAAATCTCTGAAAGGAATACATCAATAGGCATAAATTCCTTACCTATGGAATAAAATTGTCCAACCCTGTGTAAAGAATTTTTTAAATATAATTTAGCTTGTTCTAAAAATTTTGGATTCTGTTCAACTAGATCAACTGTTTTAAAATATTTTGTAAGTAAATTTCCAGTTATCCTGCCAATCCCAGCACCACAATCTAAAGCGTAATTTCTTCCTGGTAATAAACCTGGGAACTAAATTAGTGAATTAAATAAATACAATAATAATCAATATTTTCATACTGAAAATTTTCAATGTTTACAACTCGTCACGATGATGTACCTGAAAAAGTGATTTCAAAAATTGCTTAGATCCAATAATATCTGTTTGTGAAATAAATCCAAATCCCCCTAACATTCCATCTACTGTTGCTGGTATTTTCTCCCAATATTTTGCTGCATCTTCATAAAATTCTTTCTGTTGTAGAATAAATTGCGATTCACAGACTTGTTGCTCCATTTTTCAAAAGGTCTCATAAAATACCAACAATTATAAATATTAATAATAATAATATAAATAAAAGTATCTAAATATCTATAAAAATTTAATGACTTGAGGTAAATTAAATTATATTAATTAATCCACATCGATCGTTCACATGGTTTTCCATAAAATTTATAGACAAAATATATAATTCAATACAATATTATCGTACTCTTATCTCGGCTCATTATCACACATGTGCAATACATTTAATACCCCCCCCCTCCCCCCCCCCCCCCCCCCCATGACACATGTCCGGTGCTCCCCACCATTTCGCAAAGAAATTTAACCTGGTTCAGTTCGAACTAATATCCATTTCTTATATACATTCGTTTCAACTTTTTATGCTTGCGTATGTAAATGCGTCATTATGTTTATCTCTGTCTAAGCACTAAAAATAACAGCTGATTGTATATTAAAGCAAAATCAAATTTTTTTGTAGCCAATGTTCAACCACATTTTGTAAAGATTGTATTTGTCAAGGGTAAAAAATGTCAGGACCAGATTTACCAGAAACTCCAGTACTTTTAAAAAGTATACAGCCTTTTTTAAAAACTGCTAGCGAACATGATAAACGAGATCCAATTATTAGTTATTGGTGTGAGTATTTAATTAAAACAAAAATTTTTAATTTCGATGTTTAAATTTTTTTACAAATTACTTTCAAATATAGACTATTTTATTCCGTGATTTCGTATATTACAATGACAATGCTTAAAAAATATATTTTATTTTCATTTTAGGTAGACTGTATGCGTTACAAGTTGGCCTTAAGTTATCTACTAAGACCAGCGAAGAAACGAATTTTCTTTTGAAATTAATGGACTGGTTAGAAGTTACAAAGAAATTATATCATGAAAATGAGGCTATTACAAATGATGTTGCGGCTCAAGCACATATAGAAAATTGGGCACTGAAACTCTTTCTTTACGCAGACAAAAATGATCGAGCATCTAATTTTGGAAAGAATGTAATTCAAAGCTTTTATACCGCAGGCCTTTTGTACGACGTTCTTACAACATTTGGTGATTTGAGCGAAGAGGCTGGACAAAACAGAAAATATGCGAAATGGAAAGCTGCTTACATTCATAACTGTTTAAAAAATGGAGAAACACCAATACCAGGACCTATCAAAGATGGAAATAACGATTCAAATGAAAACGATGACAGTCTTTTAGGTAAATTGAAAACCATAATTTTAATAATTTACCACAATAATTTGAATGAATTATACGATGGATTTCAATAATTGTATAAGTAATATTTTCCAATCATTACTTTATTAATTAGTATTACAATCTAAAATTCTTTATGATGTTTTAAATTACTATTTTATATATAATATTAAATGTTGTTTTATAATTTTTTTAAGAAGGTATTCTGGCATAATGGTTAAATAAATCAAGTTTTATGTATTTTGCGGAGGTTTATTGTATTTAAAATAGCGCTGCGAAAGAATTTTTAATGGATCATTAAGATAAGCAATATTGTATGCTTATCTTGTAAACTTTATACTCTAATTATTAAAGAACTTTCATATATTTATTTAAGCAGTAATGTACCCATCTAAGAAAATCTGAAGGAATGTTAAAAAATTATGTATCGAAGAGAAAAAGAAAATATCCGATACCTTTCATTACACAAATTTGACAGAGTCAAAATTTACGATGCAGTTATTGCAAATAGAAAGGACAGTTAGTTTTCACTTATTAGATCCTTAGTACTAAATTATTAATCCTTAGCGGTAGAGCTCATTCATTCATATGTCACAATTACTTATGTATTAAAAAAACTATTTGAGAGTAGAGAGTCTAAATAAATAACCTTGTATGAGTTTTTCCTCTCCAAAAAAAACTTCCATTCAAGAGTAATTATTCAAAAATACCAGTTATGCTCGATACCCTCTTAAAAATGTATCACATTATGATAAAAAAATATAAATTGCTATGTATTTTTTATTTAAACAGCTGAAAATGATGATAAAGGGGATAATGAAAAGAGTGAGGATAATGGGGATAATGAAAAGAATGATGATAATGGGGATAATGAAAAAAATGAAGAATTACTTTCTGGTAATATTAAATAAGTAATATATAAATTTCAGGCTTAATAACATACGTGTAGAGCTTTCTTAAGTTTACAAAACGCCCATCATGCTTTAATAGTAACATATTGTCGTAAACCACAAATTGCTAATCATTTATCATACAAGTTGATATACGATATATTTTCTTAAGCATTTGATTTATTATTATTTAGAATTTAAAGTACAGCCTACGCCTGCACAGCCTATGGCACCTACAGTTCCAATGCAACCATTGCTTGGAATTAATTCAAAGCCACTTATAAATATCGGTTCATTCGACTTCCCTTCAGTACCAGGTATGTAAGAATTATAATGTTTGTATGAATATTGTATTTCAAATTTATCTTGACTTTTAAAAGAATAATTAATTTTACTGGACCTATTTATATATGAATATACTAAATACTTAAATTAATAAATTAATTTGTTTGAAAATTAAGTATTTTAGATTTAATACATTAAATGGCCAAAAATTCCAATAATTATAAGTTAATGCAGCTGGTGAAAGTAATGAACGCAAATTGTATTTATAATAATGGTAAATAATCGATACTTTAAGAATTTAATGTTATTTTTCTTAATTGTAAGAAATATTTATTTTTCATGTCAATGAAAAGAACATTTCATTAAATTGATATCACCCGTAATTAATAAATTCTAAATAAATAATTAATATTCTAAATAGTATTAAAGACACCAAACATATATGTTTGAGTTGATTATTATAATCCATATTCTTATTAGAATTAATAAGATTATTTGAAATTTATTTATATTCACTCATTTGAAAACTTGGTAGTCATTGCGAATGACTTTTATTTAAATTTATGAAGCTGATCGTAAAAGAATCAATGAATTAAAAATTTTAAATAATTGCGAGACGATTAATGTATTTAAGAATATACTTAAATACATTCGTTAGTTTAAAAAAAAAAAAATTACTATTGAAAATGTTATATTTTAAACAGCGAAAAACGATGATAATGAAGATGATGACAAAGATGAAGAGACTGGTAATTGCGACAAATTTTTAAAAATTTTATTCATCAAAGTTATACATCAAAATTTATAAATTCTAATGACCATCATCAAAGTCGTTAATTTCTATATCATTAATATGCAAACACAATCATATTTTTCAATTTCTACAATATAATATTATTATAGAGCGCTATTTTTACAAAATATATTTTTTTACAAACAGAACCACATCCATATAATCCAGCACCAACACCAACAGATCCAGGAACTAATTACAAAATCTCTTATGAAGATAAAACTTCCTCTTCTAAATCTGAAGGTAGACTCATTGTTATAATAATTTTACTCGAAATTATTATTTTATTTCATTTCATACTTACAATTTATTCATTGTTTCAGAAAATGTTGAATTAAGTATCGAACAGTCAGGAAAAGCGCAAAAGTATATAAAATGGGCTGGTAGTGCTTTAAATTATGATGATGTGCCTACTGCAATATTAAATTTAAGAAAAGCCCTGCATCTTCTTACAACCGGAGAAGATCCTGTTTGAATATATTTATAATAATTAAAAATACTAACTTAAATAATAGGCGCTTGAATAATTTGAAACTAAATGAAAAAAAAGGAGAAAAACAAAACAAAATTTATTTTATTTGCTTGTACAAATTTTGGTCTTATAATTTCTTATAATTGTCTTATAAAATCATAACGTATATTTTTAATGAAATATAAATGATAATTTCGTTCTATTATAATTGAAATGCTTTCTAGGCTATTTGTAAATAATACATAGATATCTAATCAATTAGTAAGCGTATATACTTAAGAGAAAATTCATGATTTTATATAAATGTTTGCATTCATTTTGTATTAGATAAATAAGTAACGAATAATAAATATGTTTAAATTCTTTATTTAATTAACACATACAATCTGAAATTTTTTGTAAATAAACATCATATTTAAAAAAATTTTTATTTTAATGTTATAAACCACAATACAAATGGTTCATATTTCTTAAAATTTCATTTGATATATAAAATAATAATATCAATGTCGAAAAATTTTATATATTAAGGCTTTTATTTTCTATACACACAAAACGTTATTAAATTAAGCCTTCGAGGTGCACACGTATTTGGTTACTAATTTATCTTGCTATACGTATATAATTTAAAGCATAAGCATAGGATGTATTTGTTTTATAAAATAAAACCGACTTCCCATCGACTATTATTAAAAGTATGATCATTTATCGAACTAAATTTATTTTAAAAATGTAGAAAGAGTAACGTGCAATTTAAATATTTCTATTAAACAAATTTAATTATATTTATCTACTTGACTTATCTATGACACATTGTGCATTGTTACTATTAATTATTTTCTTTATTTATACAGATGTGCATTATAAATTCCTGTTTTTTTTTTGTTTTTTTTTTTGAGTTACTTAAATGTAAAAATTACATTAGCGCCTAATTGAACATTATACGAAACAAAATATATTTACCTTATTTTTTATTATTATAAATTAGTGGAAACGTCTCTTTAATGTATTATTCGACAAAGCTTCTATTATTGTTATATTATCGACAATTACAACACTAACCATACAAATTCAAATTTTAATATGAAATATTAAATTTGAAAATTATCCTTATGCTCTATTAAAGGATGCGCATGCGTCTTCACACGAATGCAACTCGACAATCGTATATATTCTGGTAAATTTCGCAGCACACTCGTAAAAGGAAGATCAATATACATTTTTTTGGTTGAAGTCGCAACAAATAAATGTCTTTGACTAGATTGATTTCGAATTTAATTCATTTTATAAATACTCGTTTATAAAAAGCCTACAATTAACTCGGTTCATCGATCGCTTATTAAGAAGTCGTATTGCTAATCGTACGAATGTATAATAATGAAGTTTCCTATTTCAATTTTTCCATAGACAAGGCTTTTACTAATTAAATGACTAAGTTGCTTCTCTCGTTTTTACTTTTTAAGTGCTTTTTTTATGAGCTGTCATTACAAAAGTATCACTTTTAACGCACTTTTATATAGTTCACTCGTTAAATGGGCTTAAGAGCATCATTATTATTATTTTATTTTTTATTTTTTCTTGTCACCCTAAGGTAACAACAGCTTCAGTCTTGCTTTTTCGCTTTGTCGTCTACTCCATTAGCTGTTGTAATTAGATCATTTTTGCGTCTTAGCTGCCAATCTATTACCAAACGGCCGGTTAACATGAAAAAAAATACCTGAAATAATAAAAAAACGTTTATGAATTGCGATACGTGAAACATTGTAAACACGTGAAAATTGAGGCGCATTAATAAAGTGAAGATTTTCATTTCATAAATTTGCATTAATAGAACGAATTGCTGAAATCTTTTAGATCAGTAATTTTAATCGTTCGTTTTAATAATGCAACATTGAAATTTTGTAAAATATACTTAGTATATTCTTCTAATAATGCTTACCAGTGCAGGTGCAATTTTCTCAAATTTATTGTTAACCATATAATGAGAGTAAACAGCCATTAGCATAAGAAAAAGGAGAACCCCGTTGCAGGCATTCTTGATTTTATCTAAAAAAACAAAGAGAGAGAGAGAGAGAGAGAGAGAGAAAAGAGAAAAAATTTTTATTTTTAAATAGATAGCAATCACAGTTGCATGAATTTAAAATTAAAAAAAATGATAGTTAAAATTAATAATTTCGAAGAAAGTATGAATTATTGCAATTGATTATTTAAATTATACAATTGATTATTGAAAATTCTCTTTTACGTATTAAAGACTCCGCCTACACATAGTTTGTCACACCGTTTAAGTAGAAAGGATTTATTCCGATCAGCCGTCCACAAACGGTACCAGCTACAGTTTATAAAAGATTCGACTATTATCTCTTAAAATCTCACTTAATTTCCGTCGGTTAATCAATGATTAAACAACATTAAAAATCACACGGGAATCGCTCTAGTGAAATTGAACCGGATAAAAGATTTTTTTATACAAGCAATTATACTAAAGATCATCGCGCCTCCCCTTACTTATTACGCCGTTTTCACTCGTAATATTAATTGGAGGCAATCACAACTAGATACTTTAGCTAGAAAAACCAAAAATCCAATAGAGTTTATTGCTCGGGACCTCGCATCACCCTTGGCAATTATTGCCATTGGATACGAGAAAAAAGTCTAGAAGCATAATAAAGAGAAGCGCGCGCGCGCGATTAGGCTCGATGGCTCGTTGGCTCGATATAAGTAGCGGAACTGCAAACCAAAGTGCCCGACGACATTATTCATGGAGCTTCGATGATTAACTCGTTTGCGGTTAACGAAGTGCACGGACTGCGCAGCCCCTGGCGAAAGTGTCGCCCGAGAAACGAGCCACACGGCTGTAAAGTCTTGGCAAAGCATTTATTTAAAGAAGTGGCGAGTTAACGCTCGACCGGCCAAGAACCCGCGCGGGACATCCCGAGCCCTCGGAAGCTCGACGCGAGTCCCGAGGTGAGCTCGGCCACGGCTATTTTCCACGATATTTTCTACGATATTATCTATAGCTGTCAAGGTGCTTACGTACAGTTAGGTATCAGGGCCATGGCCAGCCCGCAGACAATCTCCAATGCGCCAACGACCCGTCTGTACCACTTGCTCGGCACCTTGAAGTCCAGGGTGCCAGCCAGTGGGAAGACCTTGGCGTACTTTACGTAGTCCTTTCTCTGCGAAAGGAAGCGGTCGGAGAGCATTAGCTAACGATGGCCGACGCCAAGCCAGGGACGAGGAGGCGGAAATTAAGGAGGCCGATCCATCCGAAGTGGGAATCTGGATGAGGGCCAAGTTATTGGGCGTAGGACACGCTGTTAGTCGCGAGCGCAGCAATGACAGGCAGAAATAGCTTCTGCCGTGCATCGAGAGAGACAATTTTATCCGCGCTATCGTTAGGCCAAGAGGTACAAGGTGCCCACTAGCTTCCTGTCTCAAGGGAATATCCAAATCCTACTCGACTGATTTATCAATTGAAATAACCAGCGCTTAACTAATCTTTTAGAAAATGCAGCGATTCAGAAGCACATTGAATGGATTAAGGCCTAAGATTTGTGTCGAAAAAGCCTTGTTTCAGGCTCTCATTGCGATATTACATTGGGTCGATCGTCAATTAGGTACCATAAGGTTTTTCACTTGTAATTACGTGCTCTTAGGAACGAATATGTACTTTTGAAAAGACAACTTTTTATTACCATTACTCTTATTACTATTACCATTACTACTTTAATAATAATAATTTTCATCATCATTACGAAGAGTACGATAATTATTTATCATTTGTGATAATGCAATAGTTCAATATTTTATCTGGAGTTTTTCTTTCGCTTTTCCTGGATTACCATATTTTATGTAAATGCATACATTTATAGAGTTGCCGTGTCTTATAGGTATGCATTTTTCGTACCAAACAGAGATTTTGATTCTAAAATTAAAGTTAGATTTAATTTAGTACAAAACCGCTAAATTTAGTACAAAAATATTTATCTTACATTTCTACATGCAAACTTTATTACTTGTATATGTATAATATTACAAAATATGTGAGAAAACATCCGATTAATTATTTCTAAAAATACAACTACGATTCTTCCATTCTTTCTAAACGGAACGAATAATAAATTTTTCCACGTAATAGTATGAATAAAATTCGATTCAAGATATTTAATCGTACATTGCCTCTTTTTCATATAAATATTAGAAATTTCATTTTCCAAAATTGATATAAAAATAGTATTTATGTTTTTACAGATACCGATTAAAAAAAAAAAAAAAAAAAAGTAAAATAATTTTTATACTAAACAAGTAAGTCAATTTATGATTATACTTGTTTTATGATATGTAGCTGATTGAATAACAGTAAAATATTACATGAGATAATATTACATTAACAATAGATATTCTTATAATAGAAAAATTTTGTACTATCAATCTAATTATTTTCAGCTTTAATTTTAATGTTAATATTCGAAACAAATTAGAAGACTTTAAAATAATTATCGATTATTTCCGATCATGTTATAAAATCCTATATAATCCATTATTTCATAAATAAAATATGTAATTTAGTAATGAACTCATTTTAAGTAACGATCACTATATCGTGTATATTTTTACAATAAATAAGTATTTAATATAATAATAAGTTTTTATATACATATATAATTAATATTTTATCATAACATTAATATTTATATTAATCTAAATTGGTAATGAACGTGTGACAGATGTCGTAATTGCATTAAATCATCATATACATGTGGCTTTTCTTTCCAAGAATGCAAAACTATTTTTACAATATTTACAAATTTAAATTCACATTGTTTATTTTCAATATTTTTGTTTTTTAACAAAATAGCATTTCAAAAATTTTATACTATTTAAAAATTAATTTAGATATTCGAGTAATTATTTAACATGCTGGCACATCTTTCTGATTCGTTATTTAAAAAATATTTTGTTTCGTTTATTAATGATCCTGCAACTAAATTACAATCTGCAATCACGAATCGATTTTTAAATGTTAAACATCATTTAATATAATGATCGATATCTCTTCAAATAAGACCTTCTTTCACGATTGACAATCTTTGTAATTACTATTATTTACTTTAAACAAAATCTTTCCAGTCGCTACATCAACCAGAATTTTCATATTATTTTATCGATGCAATATGGTCCTCGATAAAGTTATAATAAAAATTTCAAAGTAAAGAGACGTTCGTCAGAATACGTGATATCGATCAACTAAAAACAACATCGCGGAACATATTTGCTTGTGTAACGTAAAAAGACTTGTGGAAAGTCGCGCTGACGTGTGCGTGTTTCCGACAAAAAGCGCAATCGACTGTAAGGAGACAATTTTCTATCCCTCTTTCATACTTTTTCAAGTTGACACGATGGAAAATAAGCACGAGGAGAGCATCACTCGTATTTTAAAATTGTCTTTTATTTGTATATACTGTCGATCTTCCCACGCTATAAACCAAATACGCCAGAGAGTTACATAATTAATTCTAGCATGTGTAAGTTCTTTGATTTTTTAATTTTCGACACGTACATTCGGAGCCAAACTTTGCATATTTAATCTACAAATTTTACATTTTCTAAATGACAAACGTAAAAGACTTAACATAATGTATAAATATGTTTATTCCAAGAAACATTATTGCAGCTTTTCGTTATTATTTTATTGTAATAATATATTTCAATACTTTATATATATTTCAACTAATTATTTTCAACTTCTAAAGAATATTCGTTAATTTTAAGCATTACATTACGTATTATGTATTTATTAATTTTTTCTTTAATTATATATATATATATATTGCATTTGAAAAAGTGTCTATTGATAAATTTACTTTTATTCACGTCATCAAAAATTGTATTTATTTAATAAAGTATTTTCGAATGAAATACGAAAATTGTTGATTAAAATAGTTATCCTTTCAATGATTTAATATCGAATTTACTAGATAGGATTATTCTAAGGAATAAATTTATGTTAAATTTATTATTTTTAATTCGATAATTTAAATAAGTAATTAATCAAATGATTGAGAAAAGTCCAATACTTATGGTAGATAGATGCATAGGCGAATAAATGAGTAGATATGAACTACTACTACTACTACTACTACTACTACTACTTCTACTATTATTACTGATGCTGCTGCTGCTGCCGCTACTGATACTTCTACTGTTAATAACAAGAATAATAACAATAATAATAATAATAATAATAATAATAACAACAACAACAACAATAACAACAACGACGACGACGACGACGACGACGACTATAACAATAAAAATAACGACAACAATAGTAATAATAATAATAACAAAATAGTAGTAGTAGTAGTAGTAATAATAATAATAATAATGATAATAATATCAACAATTAACGTTTATGTAGGCATTGTCAGGGGTGCGTGGGGATAAACAATATTCAAATTTATATTTTGTATAATCGTCCAAAGCCCATTCCTTAACACATATAAATAGGTGTTTGTACATACATCTGCCCGTGCATTGAAAAATGGTACGTATAACGAAATTACATAATCCGTTACTTCTTATATTAAGGGTTACGCCGACAATTATATCAAAGATTTGACAATTAAGGTAACTGAAATGCAGTACTATTGTATCGCGTGTCCAGTTGGGCAAACTGAAATTATAACGAGACAATCATTCATTATTATACGACTAATATATTTATCGAATTATAAATATTGTTATATTATAAGTAATTTGTAGTATTTAAAGCAATGACGAAATATTCTTTTAGAATGTCAAATATATAATCAGCTATTTCGATATTTTATAATTTGTATGCGTTACAATCGATTCAATTAATTTTTTAAGCACCATAATAAGAAAATTGCACGTCAAATTGATTGTCCCATGAAAGAAATAAAAACAAAAAATATCTGTCTTTGGGTAGCCATGAGCAAAGTGGAAATTTTTGCTTTTATTAAAACTTTGTATTTCAATAACCATTTCTTCTTGATGCCTACACTTTATCATTATGCGCAAATATTAGTTTAAGATAATTGTGGATCTTGTCAACAACAATATAAACATCGATGGAGCTTTACAGCTAAAATTTGTACTCTAATTTCGTCAAAGCAGAGAGTGATAAAAAGAAAAATCGTAAAAACGTTGTCGAATCGCGAATAGTCGAATAGTCGGTTACGAGCAACTGACTTTTCTAATCAGTATTTTTTAAAATTAGACTTCAAAATAAGTATCGGTCTGTTATTCGAGCGCTAAAAATAATGATCGAGCAAGTATTTTTAAAGTGATATGGTACTGACAAATTCATTTTAAGAATCGAGTGCTGCTTGTTTTCGAAACCGAGCATAGGCGTCGAACAAATACAATTGACAAAGCAAAAACGGTGTCGGGGCAAGGGGGTGGCCGATAGGAATGGGATTCAGGGGGAAATGGGGTGGCGTGGTGTTTCTTGCTCGTGTGCGCGCGTTTCCGTGTGTTGGGAGAGGGCGACGTGGATGACGATTTCACGGGTAGGGGGGAGGGGGGTCGCGATGTGCAGGGGGGGGGGGGGGGGGGGGGGGGGGGGGGGTAGGAGGGGATTTGAGGGCGGGCTGGAGGAAGAAAGGATAAGGGACGTTATGTGATAAATAAGCTAGGGGCAAGTAAAGCAAAGTTCTCCGATCTGAACTCACTAGGTCCTTGTGCAGGTCCTTGCTTATATGGGAAGTCAACTTCATAGTGCCGACGAAGACGAAAAAGATGCCCAGCAGGATGGAGAGCGACTTGAGCACGAGGGAGCCCATCTTCGCGGCCTTAGTCCTTTTCCCTCACCTCGTAGCGCGCGATTGTGCCGAGAGGCGACACAAGAGGACGGAGGATGCGAGGAAAGTAAGAAGCTCAAGAAGCCGTAGCGTCCTCTATTTGCCTGGCCACTGTCAACGAGGGGACACCGAAGAGCTGAGTTATTAGCACTAGCACCATCGGCTCGGTTAAACACAAAGTCAAACGCACCAGCCAAGCATTGTCCTCGTTTGCCTACTACGATGACAACACTCGAGGACACGGCCACAACGCCAATGACAATGACAACGGCAACGTCGACGGCGACGGCGACCACGACGACGACGACAACGTCAGCGATAGCGACGGTATCGACGACGACGACGACGACGACGACGACGACGACGACGACGACGACGACGACGACGACGACGACGACGACGACGACGACGACGACGACGACGACGACGACGACGACGACGACGACGACGACGACGACGACGACGACGACGACGACGACGACGACGACGACGACGACGACGACGACGACGACGACGACGACGACGACGACGACGACGACGACGACGACGACGACGACGACGACGACGACGACGACGACGACGACGACGACGACGACGACGACGACGACGACGACGACGACGACGACGACGACGACGACGACGACGACGACGACGACGACGACGACGACGACGACGACGACGACGACGACGACGACGACGACGACGACGACGACGACGACGACGACGACGACGACGACGACGACGACGACGACGACGACGACGACGACGACGACGACGACGACGACGACGACGACGACGACGACGACGACGACGACGACGACGACGACGACGACGACGACGACGACGACGACGACGACGACGACGACGACGACGACGACGACGACGACGACGACAACGAAGACGAAGTCATCGACGACGAACACAACAACGATGACGACGGCACGTCACCACCACCACGATATTCGGCTCGCATCCTCACGTCACCTCTTCTCTCTCGGGAGTTTCATCCAACGTCACCAAGGAGGAAGTCGGCTCGCTAGCCACACTTCTCTCCTCCTTCTTGCCAAAAGAGCCGACCAACTCGCAGAGATTAAAGGATACTCGCAGCTTCCTCCCCGTCACCGTGACGCTTTTAACGGGGGATGCCACGAGCGCGGCGCCAACCGCAAGATAAAGACAAAAAGTATCCCCGGATCGCGACTCGCTCGCCTGTTTTTAGATCAAACACTCCTCTCCCTCTCCCTCGACATCTATCTTGTCCCGAGTGCGATTTTTCGCGAGACTACTAACTCTGAAGCACGACGGCCTCTCCCTCGCTTCGAGCCGTTGCTGTTCTTTGCCACCCCTACCCCTGCCCCGCTCACACGACTCTCGTCGGGGAAAATCGTTACTGCACGCGCCTCGTCGTCCCCCGCTCGCGACAGCTGTTCCCAGCTCCCATCCGTGTTTACATTCCCGTGATACGTGCGCGCGCGCGTCTATCCGCCCCCGGAGTTGGATGCGGTTGGCCTCCCGGCCGCTTAGCGCTCTCCTTTCGCCGCGCCTAGTACTTTTTACCCATCAGCGACGACAACACCGGCCTCTGGTGGCCTCCAGAGCCATTGTCCTCCTCGAGACTCCAAACAGAGAGAGAGAGAGAGAGAGAGAGAGAGTAAAGTGGTTGAAAGGACTAGGCTCTTTACTCCACGGTACGTTGTGGCATTTGTATGGGTGAGCGAGGAATCCGAAGACGGATCGTCGTCGCTTCCGCGTGGAGGGACAACGAGCTGACGAGTCTGGGGCAATTGACACGTCAATCGAAGTCCGACATTCGCTCCATAATCGCTTTGTCGCGATGCGAAGAAGAGGCGATTATAACGGAATCATCGCCGAATTTTTGAAGTTTTCGCCCCGCGCGACTTTTGGCCTTTCGGGGATGTCACATCACTTGCAAATTAACACCGTCGCGACTAAGTTACTCGAGACTTTTTTACGCGATAACAGATTGGGTGACAAAGTTTATTAATGTCAGGAGGGAGACTCGTGAAAGCCCGAGGATTTGGAATGTACGTACCTCCTAAATATATATAATATCGTTATATTTGCATTGCCTTTATGGTTTTTATATGGTGGGTATATGTGGTGCAAAGTCAATAGTGCGTAAGCGTGAGTGCGAGTTGATTATAGGGCATAGGGCGACCAATATAGCGGAAAAATTCTATTTGATATTTTTTGTATGTCGATGTGCGAATAGCTCGTTAGGCGAGGCTATTTAATAATAAAGATGTAAAGCGACTCGGTTGATTATCAATTATTATTATTATTATTGTCACTACTGTGAATAATTGTCAAAATTTGAAGTTACTGCGCTGTAAGCTAGAAAAATACAGTATTTGGAATTTAAGGTAAAGAGATACTTTTGCAGCCTTTGAATGATCGTTCACATTTGTATTTATCCAATGCTTTCAGTGGAATGTAAAATAATTAATAACGATATTGTATATTTTTGCAGACATGACGTATATAATTTATTTAAAAGCTTAATATAGAGGAAAGTTTGTAGAGGAAGTTTGTAGGCAAGATGGCCAGTTTTAGAGGAGGACAAAAGTCCTCTGAACCTTATCAAGAATTAGACGAAGTTCGCGGTGCAGAACTCAATCATGAGATTAACACTACCGTACGAAATAATATGCCGAGTGATCTTGTCCTAGACAGATCTTTAGAACTTACTTCTGTTGCCGTTATTCCAGATGGTATGATATCCAGATAGCAATAATTTTATAGTCTTTATTTTATAAAAGTTATTATATAAAGAAGATTCTTGAATGGACCGTCAAAAATTCATATGGCTATTGGAATAATAGAAATAATATTAACTCAATATTTTAACATAATATTAATATCTATAATATTAAACTATAATTGGAAATAACTGTTATCGAGACTAACTACAGTAGTCAAGCTACTGTTCCAAATTTTGTGTATACACTTATTTCAATAATATTAATTTTTTATTTATTTTTTTTTTCCTCTACTCTTACAATACTTACTGTATGTTTTTCTAATCTATATTTAAAATGTGAATGGAATATTTCTCATTGATTAAAATTATTGTACATACATTTGCTATAGAAATGAAATATATTTCCCATTAACTTTCTATTATTTATTAAACTCGTTTATTAAAGTTTTTCAAAAAGCTTTATATATTATATATTCAACTATCTGTCTATTAATGAATCTATTAAAGGATATGGCTAACACACTTGGGTACTTGGTATCAGGGATCTTGATCTCTACAACGAAGTTTTGGAGAAAATTTAGTAAATGTCGCAGTCTGCGCATGAAAATATTATTCTAACTTCAACGCTACTAAATCTGCATACTGTTGTATTGTTTGCAGAATTGCTCCTCTTTATGGTGAGCTAAAATAATCAAATGTTTTAAAATATTCTAAATATCTATGGGTAATTTAATTTGTATGTAAATATTAATTTTCTCAAACTGACATATTAATAGACAAAAGACTATATATATATATATATATATATATATATATATACATATATCTGTATTGTTTAAAAACAATTTTAATACCCTTTCAAGTATAAAGTCAGTTTGGCAGAATAGTATTAGCTAATTATTCTAATTACTTTTATAAATTTTCAACAGATACTTTTACAGTGAGTCAAGCAATTAATATACTGGGTTTTGGACGGTTTCAAGTTAAGCTTTCATTATTTACGGGACTCTGTTGGATGGCAGATAGTATGGAAATGACAATACTCAGTATTCTTAGTCCCACTTTGCACTGCGATTGGGGCATTTCTAGGTATCAACAAGCACTTACGACAACCGTAAGCAAAACACTAATTAAATTCAAACATCATTCATCAATTAATAATAGAAGATAGATTGGATTTTTATTAACGACTGGAGTTTTAGGTTGTTTTTCTGGGTATGATGCTTAGTTCGACATTTTGGAGTAATTTAAGTGAACGTTATGGAAGAAAACAAGCGCTAACCTTATGTGGAGTACTTTTGTTTTATTATGGTTTTTTAAGCTCTTTTGCTCCAAATTTTTTATGGATACTATTGCTTCGTGGTCTCGTAGGATTTGCCATTGGTTGCGTACCTCAATCGTAAGTAGATTTGCATAACTAAATAGCTGATTTATAAATGTATTTCAGAATGGTCGTACGTTTCAATAATGATTCATAATATTTTTTTTAGCGTAACTTTGTACGCTGAGTTTTTACCTGCAGAACAGCGAGCTAAATGTGTAATTCTTTTAGATGTAAGTTAATTTAAGTTTAAAACTACTAACAACAATAATAACATCTTTTACAAATAACAATAGTAATAGCTGTTTATAATTGCAGTGCTTTTGGGCTCTCGGCGCTTGCTTTGAAGTCGCTTTGGCATTAGTGGTAATGCCAAATCTTGGATGGCGATGGTTACTGGCCTTGTCCACTATACCTTTGTTCTTATTCTCCATAATTACGCCGGTAATTAATCAATCTTACCTTCCTTGGCAAGTATAGATATTCCATTTTTGACAAAGACATTTAAAATAAATCAAATGTTCAATCAGTGGCTACCAGAATCGGCTTCGTTTAATATGATGAATGGACACACGGACAAAGCTCTAGCAACATTAGAAAGAATAGCTAGAGAGAATGGGAAACCCATGCCTTTAGGACGCTTGGTTATGGATCGTATATACCCAACTTGCAGAGGTAGACTCATAGATTTGCTAAATAAGGACATGTACAAGACATCTGTATTACTCTGGCTCGTATGGTAATTATATTTATTTATCACATTCGATCGATTAAAAAAAGATTCCACATTTACGAACAGAAAAATGCAGCAGCAACTATTAACGAACGATGTAGGAATGCGAATGTTAACGATAAATAATCAATATTTACTTTTTATACTTAATAAATTAACTTTCACTTATTTATAATTAACAAATAATTAATAATTGGATAAATAATGAATTAATACATTCGTTTTGAGTGCGACGGAGATTGAAATAGAGAGTATCGGCGAGCACTCCTAATGGTAGGGAATCGGTTACTTATTACGGAAAGTGGTTGGTTCCAGGATGGCGAGTGCTTTCTGCTACTACGGCGTAGTGCTCATGACCACCGAGCTGTTCGATACGTCGGCGGACCAGTGTGGCGAGCAGGCCGAGGAACGTATCCAGGAGCGCCAATGCCTAATCAATTGTCAGCTAAGTCGAGGGGATTACATGGACCTGCTCTGGACGACGCTGGCCGAGTTCCCGGGTATCTTCTCAACGATCTACGTAATCGAGAAGGTCGGCCGTAAGCGTACCATGGCCTTCCAGCTGGTAATGTTCGCTTGCATCGTCTGCTTCCTGGGCCGGGCCTGTCGGCTCAGTCGACACGTACTCACCCTGGGTCTCTTCCTCGCTCGGGGTCTCATCGCCGGCGTCTTCCAAGCCGCCTACGTCTACACTCCCGAGCTCTATCCGACATATCTCAGAAGTACGGGTGTCAGTGCCTGCAGTGCCATGGCCAGGCTTGGCGCCATGGTCACACCCTACATCGCCCAGATCCTTCTAAGATGGTCAGTGCCCACGGCCATGGGCACGTACGCTCTCACGGCGCTCTGCGCGGCTTTTGCGATTATCGCGCTGCCCGCGGAAATAAGAAAGCCCTGAGGCCAAGATTTCTTTCCACTGGGAAACAGCAAAGTCGAGGAAGTGTCTGAAAGTACGTCCGTGGAAGGTAGAGGTGCTGCCGAGTACTCGTGGTGCTGCCGAGCGAAGCGAGCAGACGTTCGTGACTGCGAATTTGTTCGCGGATAGATGAAAATTCGAAGTCCACGTTGAGTAATATCGGGTAAAGAGAGGACGAATTTGCCTTTGCGTCGAAGCCCGTAACGCATTTGATTTTATCGAGTATTAATATCACGTGACTACATGTATCTTATTCCCAACATTATATTCTCTAAGCGATGTATTTATTTATCGAAGAGGCTAGTATTATGTTAAATTATATATAAAAACATCGCGGCTTGAGTTTTAGGTAGTAATTTACGTTTGGAAAATCATTTGGGAAGAGATCGATCGTATACGTAATACCTAAGCAATAAATAATCAATAGTTTTGGGAGAATTGACATTGGTGCTTCACTGAACTATTCACGTATTCGCACCCAATTTTTATTTAATAAACTAATATCCGTATTTATTGGTACGTATAAATTGCGAGGATTGGGGTTTTTTTTTTTTTTTTTTTTTTTTTTTTTTTTTTTATCTGTTTTTGTACTTTAAATACTTTATAATATTGTTATAATTGCAAAATAAATGACATTATTTGTTTTATCATTAAGAGGCAATGCTTTTATTTGAATTCAAAATATTTTTCACATCCGAAGGCACGCTTATGTAAATAATCACTGAAGAAGTTTTTATTTCATTTAGTTGTTGGCGATTGTAAAATAGTATATTATTGATTGCTAAATTCATCGCTGTAAATATAAATTGGTAATTGATAATTTTTAAGGCACAGATAATATTTATTAGCTTGAGTTAAATAAAACACAAAACGAGTTGAAAATAAAATGTGAAATAGCTTTACAATAAAATTCAAACGAATTTTTTTTTTTTGCTTTTTTTTTTTGCTTTTTTTTGGGATGGAACCATCTCTAATAACAAGAACATTCCACAGGCAAATTTGAGTTACCAATATACATGCTCGAGTACCGTCTTTTCTCTACTCCCATGTATTAGAATCTAAGAAACTCTACATATTTTTTTTTGTTTTCGCAGTCTTTGGTAAAAAAAATATAAGCTCTGAAATTTGGTCAAGTGTTACAGCCTTATTTTGAAGGTACGTTTTCGTGGAAGCAAGCAAATCCCATCGCGATAAATTGATCCACAGCAGGACCAGTGATGAATACCAGGATGCCCTGGATGACCATGACCGCAACCTCTATATCCACCTTTAATGTAAGACGAGAGACGTATGATTAAGAGCTATTGATAAGAGCTTCCCGCGTGATATTCCTATTAGGCAATGCTTACAAAATCCTTAGAAAATGCTTATAAAATTACTCGATTATTATTGGAAGCCAAAATTCAGTCAATACGATTTTTTAAAGCTGAGTAAACGACGATTCGTCGAGACATTAAGTTGGTCGAAATTTAACGTCTCGCCCATTAATAATATCGAGCTTAATTTGTAATATAATGGCATCATCGTAGCGTTAGATTGGATAATAAAATTTTACGATTGACTTAGAATGTCGACGGGCGACAATCTTTCTTTAATATTGCATTAAAAAATGAATTGCCCTTTATTCGTAATTTTTGTTCACTTGGACTCTATAAACAACATTATATTACATTCTTTGGTAATTTATTTGCCCTTGACGCGATTAGGATATTTTTAAGCGTGACAAGTATTTGTTCGTTGGTTCGTACGAAGGCTCATTTAAAGCTTCCGCGCATATTTACGGTAAAAAGAGCAACGCGGATTGAGCAAGGTGTTCTATTTGTAGTTAATGCTAAATCTAATTGAAATCTTATACCTGGCATCGTTCCACTGCAGGCGCAAATGGCTTCTTTCTTCCCCCCACTTGAGCAGAATGTACAACAATGATATATCCCGCTATGTAGGGCTCGGTATGAGCTTTTATTAGTGCTATTATTAAGTCGCGCTGCAAAACGAGTGGATTTCATTACATTACATGTCGATTGCCATGCAAATATACGGGCTGCGAATAATATGTCGCGATCATGTCATTATCGGATTGTCTTGATTATCATTTTAATGATAATTGCGCTTGAGCGTGAAATTATTAAAGCCAACGACTCAATGACCAGCATAAATTACTCGCTTTTAAGTAGGTAAGCGCATTATTAAGTAGGTAAAAAAGAAAATGGATGAATCGATCGCGAAATATTTGTTGCTCCGCCCGGAATAAAAGGTATGCGCCGTTTAAAAATTCTCACCTTGCGCGTCGATCGCCACACCCAAAAACTTAAGTCTCTTTAGAATTATACGCTTTAAACTGAGTATCTCGACATCGGATCCATTCGCTATCAAGTCCTCTCCAATGAATATAGCATCGATCAAGTATCTCGCCCTTCTCAGCCTCGAAAATTCTTGAATCCTTTCTCTGGCCTCCTTCGAGTGCGACGAAATGGTCGATCGGCTCCGAAAGTGACAGGTTCGAGGTATGCTGCTATACAAACATATTTACACTTCACATTAAAGCAATCATGGAATCTCGCTTTATCCAAGTAGAATTAAAGAGAAGCTGCCGAGAACAGGCTTTATTTGTCTCGACTGTAGCGTACTATAATGTCGCGGTTGTAACGTAAACATTTCAATTATTCGCGTATTATTATTCCATTAATAAACCAATAATGTAAAATGATTAATCGACAACATTAACGGATCTTCATCGATAGTTGAAAAAGACGCGTTTCTTCTCCGCAAAGCCTCCTGGTCATATCGTATACGGAGAAGATGTTTTCGCGCTTAAACAACAACCCCCGTCGGATAAAAAAATAAAAAGAAAAAAAAAGAAAAAAAAGAAAGAAAATTAAAAAAATAAACTCCAGAACCTTGGAAGGAGGACCGACTCACCTGTCCCTGGCCACGTCGAGGGCCGTCTGCGATCTAGGTCCAGGCTCGAACACTTGCTCGTCGTACTCGGTAAGAAGAGAATTGAGGAGCGCGCGGGCCCTTCTCAGTACGATCTCGAGTTGCCGGGCAGCCCTGGTGCCGGCACTAGCCGCGTCCTCGCTCGCGTGTCCCCGGTGCTCCCCGAGCCAAACGCATTCCCGGCAAGTCGGCTGCTGGCAAGCTAGGCAGTGAAATCTTAGGGGTTGAGCCGGATGGGCTAGACAGACAGCCAGTCGACGGATGCGCCGCGCCTCCCAGAGAGGACGTACAGCGTGACCTGGTTCCCGACCCTCGTGCTCGGCGCCGCAGTCGCGGCAGAGATTGCATAGGCAGCTCGAGCAATGCTGCGTCGCCTGCAAACAACGACGTAATCCTTTTTATCTCGTCTTTTTGTTTCACTAGTCTGGACGAACGAACGCTCCTTCTCTCTCCTTATCTCTTTTACGCGCCTTTCACATTTATTCGAGAAGAAGAAAAAAACCCTCCAGTGTTTACAACAAACAACAAGAGCCTGGGCATTGTATTTATTAATTGACTAGTCAGTTCATGCGAATCCTTTGCTTTATAGAGATAACATCTCAATGATAATGCTTGATCCTTACAGACCTTAAGAGGTACCTTCAGAAAGTCTACACTCTTATGCTTTTTATCCTTCTTAATAAGTTTGGTACGAGCTATGCTTATTTTATAGCTTTATTGTATACTCTACTAAAAGATTAACAACGATTGATAATTATGATAAATTAAGGACTGATTTTAGTTATTTGTCATACATGCTTCGTTGCAAGTCCGTGCAAGTTATGCAAAGTTTCATCGATTCCTATTAAACGATAGTCGTCACTCGAGTTAAATACCTGCACTTCCTCGGGACAGACATCGCAGCAAATGACACGTTGAGACAGTCGCCGACGTACTGCGTAAACGACAAGGCGATGTTGAAGCGAATAATGAGGAGGTGGAGTTGGTGAACCGTATTTTGGCAGAGGAAAGGCACATATCGGACAACCCTCGACTGGCCTATAAGTTTGGAAAGCATCCCTGATACTATCGTCAACTAACGGAAACGGCCCTGTAATATGTATTCATGAAGTTTTTACGTAAAATATCTTTCAGGATACAAATTGAACAAACAAATCTTGCAATACTAATGATGTCTGTAATAAGGTTTATGCGAGCTTCGGTAGCATTATATTCAAAAGGTTTGTCGAATGAATTTCCAATTTATATATACTTGTCGTGAAGTTAAAAAGCTTTTTCAAAATTGTATTATACGTTAAATTTTTCATGATAATGGTATTGTCGAGGCTCTACTACAGCACAATATAATCAGATTTTAATATGTTTACAATTCGGATTTCCACGTTTATAAAACGTGCTAAATTTAGCCAATGTTTATTATCGATGAGTAGTATTTTAAATGTTGGAAGTAATTTTAACCCTAAGGTATTCTTAGTTTTCTACTACTCGCAAACATTTTACATTGTTTACAAATGATAATAATAACACGCGAACGTCAAGTATATGCGAAAGAAATGGCAAAATAAATTTTCAGCACACGTAATACACGTGATTTATATGATTTATGATTTATCAATAATTTTAAATTCTCAAGGCACCAATTGAATTAAATAACCGCCAAATTAACGTCAAATTCCAACCGTTTAATAAAAATTAATTAGATTATAATATGTCTGTCAATCAAAAGTATTATTATAATATTGATATTGTAATATTAATTACATTACTCTACTAAAGTACATACCTATGTGTGTGTGTATATATATATATATATATATATATATATATATATATGTACATTAAAAATTAAACAGTTAAAATACAATAAAAAGTAAACAATTAAAAATTTACAGTTACTTCAATGTTTGGTAAAGCTTTATTATTTGAAAAGCAAATATTAGTGCTTTGAGAGTAAGTGGAATTTTCATTTTATCTACTTATGTGAGATTATATTTATAAAAACATTACCATGATATTCTTTGTTCATAAATTCATTGACACAATTATTACAAACTGAATGTAGGCAAGGCAGCAATCTGGGTTCTTCCATTTTGCTGTTGCATCTAGGACACCAAAAATCTTGCTCGTGCAATTGATCATAAACAGAAATAGCCCTTCTCGTGACATTGATTTCATTCTGTTCTTCTATGTTAAAAGAATTATAAATACTTGACGAAGATGGGAGAGTATTTTGGTTATTTTGGTAATTTGATTGTAAATTTACATCTTTGTTTATGTAAATTGATTCGTCCCTTAAACATCAAAAGTTTCAGTTTAAAAAACAATCGAGTAATTTTATTTATAAATTTTAATATACTACTTGTACCTTTCTAATTCATTTGAGGAGATGTCTCTTGGCTTTATTCTTATTTTTCGTGGATTCCTGCATTTCCAACTACCAAATATAAAAGTCTCTTTTGCTCCTTTATTTCTTATTTCTTCTTTATTTTCTTTATCCATGGATAGTGTTTATAAAATACAATAATTAATAGTGAAATCAAATTTAAACTGTTCGATAACTATTTCAAAATACTCCTTTTTTATTTTACAATTCAATGTCTTATTCATTTTCTAATTGTTCCCTGTAAATTTTTAACAATTTATAAATTAATGAACAAATATATAATTAGTAAATATGTAAAAATTTAGAACATTTTTAATGCTGTTGCGAGTGTTATTATGAAAAATTTATTTCATTGGTATTGGGGTAAGGCTTGTCCTTTTATATGTAGCTTGAAAGTATCGACAGTTACTAATATCGTAGAGCATTTGATTTATTAATGCAAACTCTAAACGAAAATTATAAATAAATGAAAAATATTACGTCGTGACGATTATTATTATCATTTGAAACATATTAAATGTAATCGGCAGTTTAACCAAATGTTAAAATAGTTAGGAAAATATAAATAAAAATTTTAATCGCTTACCTTTAAAAGCCTTTATTAGTTTACAGGATTACAGTATTTGTAGTATTGAAAAGTAAATTGTACTTATAGTATAGAAAATACACTTTATTATCTTAAGGAAAAATATTTATATTAAAGAACTAAATGTTCTAATATACAAAGCCAATTTTAGCAGAAGACAAATTATATGGTGGGGCAAACAGGAAAGTTTTGCACACAAGATAGGACAGTGTCGTCTATTTTGATGAAACCTTCGATGCGAATATCCATGTTTCATGATGTGTAAGCTCAAAAAAGCTCATGCTATTCCATAGACTAAATATGTCATGAAAAGCTCCGCAAGAGCTTTTAGTAAAGAATAGATAAGAAAAATCGCGTGCGCACTAAATATAATGTCAATATATACGCACATTTATATTACAATATCGTATAATGTAAGGTATATTATAATGATCAATAATGATGTAATAATTGATTATTTCCATTTAAAAGAATATAATAAAATGATTTTTAATTTATTTTATGAAATTGAGTTTAATTAATGTATAAAATGTTTTGTTAAATAATACTTCAAACTTTTAAGACTTTTCTGTAATTGAATAATATTATACTTTACTGTAATCAATATTTACTAGCTATTTGACCAAATAAGTTTATCGATGATAAAAGTATTAATATTATATACATACTAGTTTAATCTATAGTATTTATATTTCATACAAAATTTAGGTACTTAATTTTACGCAATATAGTTAACATTTTTAAGTTTCAATCGGTCAGATCGTATATATTATTAAGTTTAACTGTACAATTTTGGTCGATAATTACAATAATAGATGTTTAATTACAATATACCTCATGATCAATTTATTTTCCATCTTACGGTATGCTATACTACAACGTATTTCTAATAATTTCATATTCGCATGTTTTTTATTATTCAAACAGCGCGCCATACGTCTATGCCACATTATACATTACATTGCACATGTCACTAATTCTATTCAACATAAAGTTGAGAATTGAGAAAGTAGAGTTGAGAGTAGGCAAGTTACTTAATTTTATATCATATTTTAATTTAGAATATAAATAAAACACAGGATTATTCGAGATTGAACAAAATTCGGTAGTGAGGTTAGAATACTGAGCATTGACCATCAGACGCACAATGAATAACTAATCAGTATAACGTAAATTGTTAGAAGATTATAATAACAGAAAATTAGAACGATTCAATAGTAAGAGAACTTCACGAAAATAAGCTTAAAGAACGAATTAAAAAAGTAAAAATGACTACAGCTGCCAGGCCAACCTTTGATCCTGCACGCGGCGGTCAAGGACGCGGTGAAAAGGATTTAAGTGCAATTTCAAAACAGTACAGCAGTCGTGATTTACCATCCCATACAAAATTAAAGTACAGGTATGTGCAAAGTATTGTGTTTTATTTATACTTATGCATCATACTTATGCATGCTAGTGCTCATGAATTAAGATTGAAAAATAAGATTAAATAATGATTTGAAATTCATAGGGAACATGGACAAGGTACAATCGAGGAATTAAAAAACCGTGATTTCCGTAAAGAGTTGGAGGATCGTGAGCGCGATGTAAAGGACAAAGCAGCACCTCGTCGATTAGCAATCGAACCTAGTAGGGATGCGTCTGCCCCTAACTCAAAAAGACCAAAGGTTGATCAAGTACCTGCTGCGAGTCTCGATGCCGATGATCCATTAGATGAAGATGATTCTGAATCTGAAAGTGACGACGACGACACTGAAGCATTGATGGCAGAATTACAGCGTATAAGAAAAGAGCGAGCTGCTGAACAAGCTAAAAAGGTTTTTTTTTTTTCATATTCTTTAAAGCGAGTTGAAGTAGTACTTGTTGCCAATATTTAAGGGAAAATATTGAGTTCCATTACTTTTGTGAATAATTTTAATATTTTAAACATATAAATACAACAAATTAGCAAATTTATATTATTTTTAAAAACGAAGAGACGGTTTTAAATTTAATAAAAAAATTTAATATCAAAACACGGAATAAGTATGTAAGTTTTGACTTAAATTATAGGGCTTAGGGGCGCATAATATAGAAACACAATTATTTTAACGTTAAACAATTTAAGATCGTATTAGGTATAGATACATCTATTTTTAAATAGCTCAATCATCAATAATCATTATGTATTATAGGAATTGGAAAAACGACAGGAAGAAGAAAGAATTCGAATGGAAAATATTTTGTCTGGAAATCCTCTTTTAAATTATGCCGCGCAAAGTGGCAGGACTGATATGAAAGTTCGTAGAAGGTGGGACGACGACGTAGTATTTAAGAATTGTGCAAGATCAGAACCAAAAAAGAAACACGACGTATTTGTCAATGATTCTTTGAGAAGTGAATTTCATCGTAAATTCATGGAGAAATATGTGAAATAACTTTTCTTGACGTTCAATTATACAATCCGATTAAGTATGAGTGAAATTAATAGAAAATATAGTTTTTTAGAATGTATTATAATAACGCAATTTATTGCATATTCGTTTAAGTATATAATAAGCTTAAGAAGTTAATTAAAATTAGATTTTTATTTTAGCAAATGAGCAAAATTTGTTAATCATCTAAGCGTCCGATATATAATTTAATAAATACTTAAGCCATTGTAAATTATAAAATACTCTTTAATGTAATGAGCATAATAAACGGAATAAGTTATAAGTTACTAGCGTAATTAAATTTTATATACAATTTTCAATTTCTAATGTGAAGTAATTCTGACAATTTTATATCACTTTATCAAGGATATACTAATCATATAATCATGTAATAAAATAATAATATACCGCGAATAAATTTCTATATGACTTTTAAGACTTGGAGATGTTTTGTGCAGTATGAAAAATTAAATAAACGACAATTTAAAATTAATGAAACAATTTTTGTTTTCAATTTTATATACTATTTTGTCGATAGCGATAAGGAAAATTATATCCAAGTAAAATAAGCAAATATTGAATCCTACTCTTAAACATTTGATCCTGAAATTCTCGTTTTACGATAATTTTATTACAATTATGCACATTATAGACTCTTTATAATTGCTTGTACACAGTGCCTATGGAAAATATCTAGAAAACTAAATAAAATTTTTGTATAAAGATGCGCACGCACATATAACGGAATTACAAAAGATGCCCTCTTTGGAAGAGAATCCAAAACACCTGAAGTAATGAAAGTGAGGTTAGGCCTTTTCTTCCGGTTCGTAGAGCCGTAAGGTGCGTTCTGAAAATATTACTAATATAATCCATTACCATCAAAGCAATAATACATTTATTAAGTGAGATTGTTATTCATAAGAATATTTAATATACTGGATTTTTTAACTGCGAAAATATTTATTTTAATCTACTTTAGTGAAACGAAGTTTGAAACAAAATAGTGTCATCGTCAACGTGTTCTCGTTGGTTAATCTTGAATATATTCATTATAAGTACACTTTCTTAATATGTAACGTAACAAATAATCATTATTAATTAAAATTGTGCCACAAACTAATTCGATACTGACTAAAATTTAAATTTGTACGTAGGTTAAGTGTAATTGTTTATTGTGTCTCGAGCCACTTAATATCTGTTTGCTTATGGTCCCCATCATTCGTTCATTCATTTTTTTAATTTTACATATGTTAATGTTTTTCTTTCAATAGTTCGCCAAAATGGTGAAAATTATGAAAGTTGGAAAAGTCGTACTGGTCCTCAGTGGCCGGTATGCAGGCAGAAAAGCCATTGTGATTAAAAATTACGATGACGGTACAACAGATAAACAGTACGGGCATGCTATTGTTGCTGGTATTGACCGATATCCAAGAAAAGTTCATAAGCGAATGGGCAAGGCGAAAATACACAAGCGCTCCAAAATAAAGCCTTTTGTTAAGGTACGAGATAAAAAAAAATATTGTTATTATATCATATTTTTTTCATCGGACTTAAGAATTCATAAAGTATATTTGAAAGTCGTTCGTTGTGTTGTTTAATATGCTTCTTACATAAATTGAATTGTGAGTTGATTTAGTTAATGAGTGCCATTGAGTTTATAGTATCGAGTTTATAAACGATATATTGTTTCAAAATAGATATATGAGAATATCTATAATAATCATCTTTGTAATTCAGATAAATTGTTAAGAATATCATATTTGATTTTAGATTCTTAATTATAATCACTTGATGCCAACAAGGTACACAGTTGACTTACAGTCTGTGCCAGTTAGTCCAAAGGAATTAAAAGATCCAATGAAGAGGAAAAAAGTCAAATTTCAAACAAGAGTGAAATTTGAAGAGAGGTAAGGGGATACTTTCATCTATTACTTTCATTATAAAAGTGTCTTTTATATTATAATTTATTAAGCTCAATGAAACGAAAAAAAAATTAATCAAATTTCGTTTTTATTAACTATTTATATGACCTGGACAGGATATTTTATTTGTGAATTACTACATCATAACAAAATGGAGAGGCTGTAGCGCGTGTATTGATAATTAGCTTCTTAAAATTTTTAAAAAATATTTTTAAATAATTGTGTTAGAAAAATTTTAAGATAGATGTGTAGTCTTAAAACATTTAAACATACAAAATATTTATATTTTATTTAAATATTAAAATTTTGAAAATTCAATATTCTATTTCTAAAAAACTAATATTATACTGAAACTGTAAATACATATATACCATAAATTACCTTAGTGAATTGTTTTCAAGTTATTTTCTATTCACATATAATTTTATATAAAATTAATTATTACAGATATTACAAAGCTCAATTAAAGTTAATAAATATATTTTTATTAATTGGTTATGATTAAATATTATTAATCATTCAATAAATGCATAAATTATAATAACTTCAGTTTGATTTACATCCATATTTTTCATTTAAATTACTGCCACATTTTTATTTTAGTATATTAACTTCTTGGTAACGAGATTTTTGCTTTAAGCATTAATATTAATATCATGTTTTTAAAGTTTTTTCTTTTTAAATTATAATTTTTCAGATCAATGATTTGTACGATAAACTATAGCAGCTTGCACAATTTTTTTGCATAAAAAAAAAATGTTTAATTAAAACTGAGTATCTAATTACTTTTAGAGGCATTATTGGCTTCATAAGAAAGATTTTATATTTAAATAAATTATATTTATATTAGCAAAAAAAACTGAATACTTTTAATTTACATATTGTTTGTTTACCTCTGTTTCAGGTACAAGTCTGGTAAAAACAAGTGGTTTTTCCAGAAACTTCGATTCTAATTTCTCTTTAAATAAATAACCATATTAAAAATTTATAGCATTTATTAATATCATTTACCACAAATCCCTTAAATATTTTAATTATAAAATTACTTTCATCAATTTTTCTGATTATTAAATTTAGTGTATCTCCTAATATACGCATTTAATATTGAAATAATTTTAAATTCATTCACATATATTTGGTATGTTTTTAACACATTAAAATGAATTCTATATTTATGTAACAAGATTTCAATATGAAAATATTTTATTATTTTCATATAAATAAATCCAGAAAATTGATAAATGTTTTTGATACCAGTATAAATTTTAGATAATAAATAGGCTGTATTAACAATATTCTATTTTTTTAGAAATATTTGATGTTTTTCTTTTATTCCAATGTAACATTAAAAATAAAAATGTTTTTGTAATTCTGTATATTCGTATATGTTAAAAACAATTTTTGATATGTAAATATAAAATTATGTTTATTATATATAATTGTTGTTATGATATTTCATTATATATTGAACAAATTTTTGTTTAATATATTATTCAATCCACATTCAATTAGAATATATAAATTGAGAAATCCGATGGTTCATGAGACTTCTTAATTGATCGTAAAACTTTCTCGTGCACTTCAATTTTCCTCGATGTCTGCCACGGACGTGTATTCAATTGTGAAATTCTTTTCTCTAATGCATAGACATACAGTAATTTAATTAATTCGCTTGAGTACGATAAGGGAATTTAAATAATAACTTTATTGTCAATTATGATAAGTTAGCAGTATTGCAAAGACTAAGCAAAAGTTTTATTGTGGAAAAGCTTAGTTTGAATTGTTTTCAAAAATTGATCGTTAGAATTGTATTTTATCCTAAAAAATTTATATAATAAAATTTAAGTAAAATTTAGTTTATCAATCATTTAGAATTAATTATGATGAAAAAACCATTTTGTTCGAATAACATATTAAAAAATTAATCATTTGTTAACGTATGTAAGGATGTAAATTAACAGTTAACTGTCGAAACGATGGAATCTTAAAATTATCTGCTAATAATTGATAATAAACAGTTGTATATTGTATCTCATTATTTATCAATCACACTTATTAAAAAAAAAAAAAAAAAAAAAACATGCATTTGCCCACAAACACAATTTAAAATAAATTATATGAAACAAATCTACCCTTTGTGCAGTAAAAAAAAGGCAAATAATTTACAAAGTAAAAGTAAATTGCTTATATTTTAAATAAATTATTAGAGATTATTCATACTCATACATAGCATACAAATGTCAACTATAAATGATAAGGGAAATAAAACTATTTAAAATTATAACATTATTGTACTATTAATTGATGTATGGTTTCATATATTTACAAAATCAGTGATATTTACCGATTTAATGTAGCTTTAAATTTTGCGATACGGATGGAAAAGATTTTTGGGAATATTATGTATTAGGTATTAAAAAAGTTATCAATATTTTATTATTAAAAATATTAGAGCATTTGAATTTTAATGAAAAAATGTACATAGAAAAATTAGAAATTCTAAATGTGCAATAAATAATATTAAATCTATTCGTCTGTATAACAAAATCACGATTATTATATTAAATTAATAATATTAGTAAAAATGCACATTTACAAATACAATAGGTAAGCATTGATATATAAAATATAAAAAATTTATTATATCTATAGAGTGCAATATGTAAGGCTTAGAAAATTTATTTCCTCATCGGTGACGATTATAAATTAATAAATAGCGAATTATTGCATTGTACAGATATTTATACATGTTTTAAATTAATAAGGTTACAGAGAATTAATTACAATAATCTAAATTATTCCATTAAAAAAATAAGGTTATGATTATATGAAAATCAATAACTATTAAGATTACATATAAAAATTGTATAAGGATTAAAAGAAAATCTCTTTCATTATGAAATCATCTATAAAGATATTAAGTTTAAATAAATAAGACTATTCATACCCTTTAGATCAATTCAAATTTTTCCCAATCATTTTTAATATTTTTTAAAATTTTCTTAGAAAATGATAAATTGCTAAACATTTGTACGATCATTAATTAATTCATTAACATAGTTATTACACAATTTATTTATTTATAAACAATTTTATTTAAGCTTAAATATTAATTTGAATATTTTATTTCGATTTTATTTTATTTATTAGATATTTTTAATAGTCTTTATAAATGTGCTTTGATAATTTATAATAAAATAAAATTAACTATTGTGTGTAGTGGTGGTAAATACTATTCAATTAATAAATCTGAGTTAAGATTTGTACTTTTGCAAATGTTTACAGCATAATTATGAAGGTGCATTAACATAAATTTTAGACAGATTTAGAAATTTGTGCAATATAACAGTTAATAAGATTAATACAAACGATATAAACTTTTACAATCAAGAATAGATTGCGTATAATAGATTGAAAAATTACAAATAGAATGAAAGCTGAAAATTAATTTACAATTGATATTATCGAATGATAGAATCCATCGACAAGCATTAAAGCAAAAAACCAATTTTATTATATTAATACTAAACTGCTTTAACCGAACATAATTAAAATTTTTTAAATAGCTTTTAGGTCATTAAGTTCCGTATTTGTTAGTATATAGTGATTTTAACTTGATACACGATACATCCAATAATAGCTATACAAAATTGTTATACAAAATGTTATTATTTAAGATATAAATTTATATTAGTTCAAAGAATTAAATGAAATATTTTTTTTTCTTTTATGAAACCCACATAATTAATTATTGTTTAAATGTTCATTCTCTTAATTTTCTTTTTTACTTTCATTTTTTAAAGCGTACATAGAGACACACGCGCACATAAATTGTAGATTAAATCAAAATGACTGCAAATCTTAAGTATTTACGATAAACATCGGCACATTAACAAGTAATTGTATTATAAAATTTATACCGTTTCAACACACACACTTCAAGAGGATCAAAATGAAAATTTATAAAATTACGATTTTTCCAAAAAACACATAAATTGGAAAGAGATTATAAATTGAAAGCAATGTTATGACTAGGAGTATCAAAAATATCGAATTTAGGTTATCCAAAATATTTCGTACACTTAGCCTTAAAAGTCTAACTTAGTCCTTAATCATTTTAATCATTGCGAGTATGAAGAATAATTATACTGGAGAAATCAAATATACTTGTGATATTAAGGCATTCAAAGGTACGTACTCCGTAAGAATCAAGTAACCACTTATTACTTTTCACTTCAAGTTCAATAGCGAGAACATGACAATAAAGCATTAAAGTTTGGTTATACACAGTCAGTCGCTGCCGTGTGTTGATTAAAATTTTTAAATATTCCGCCAGTTGATGAAAGGTATGTTTCGGGCTACTGCAGAAGAGTCGTTTTGCCCTACAATCGAAACACACTCGAGAGTTTCGACTTTTCTCAGTATGTCGTGAAAATAAAGAATTATTGACGAGGATTTGAAATTCATTCTCATTTAAGTAATTGTATTATTGTATTATCGCTTATTCAAGTGTACAACCGTAACCGACAAGCAGTTTTAGTCCAACGCTTCCAAGGTCGTAACGAACACTTTAGACACATTCGCCAAATCAGCTGAATAATTCCATTGCCCTCGTCGTGAGCTCTATGACGTTTATATTCTCGTCTCTCATTGTGATGATTGTGTAGGATGAGATATGTCTCCTCACACTCCTTTATCGACGATTGACGCACATCACACGGAAATTGTAATTCCTGTATTTATGCTGTATCTGTGATCTGGACAATCTTCAAGGACCAAGGTTAGCAAGACTTTAATTTGTTTAACCATAATTTGATTACAACTATCTATTTTCATCGTGTTTTCAATTCAAAATAAGTAATGTTTTGAATCGATAAAAAGAAGCAGAAGTGATGTAGGTGTTGATTTAAAAATATCTAATTCTCACCTTGACATTGAGATTTTCGTTCGAACATACTTATACGTTAATTGTGTACGTTTTATTCGAATATATCGATATTTTTATTTCAACGACTGTGTAAAACGACGGTTAATAAAAATTTTTACGTAACAATATTTGATATTTCATTAATTAAATATTAAATACATATTGAAAGTGCTTCGTTCATTTTCACGTTAGTAGTCGATTAGAGTATTTTTAGCTAATGATTTTTAAATATTTGTTATCTTAATTTGTTATCTTAATCGAATATTTATTTGAAATTTTTTATAAATTTACAAAAATCACATTGTTTAAAATCTTTTCAAATTCAGTATATTTTTCATTTCTATTAAATATAATCAATTTTTCTTCCAGAGCTTATTTTGAATTATTGAAAACTATATAGAAGACAGATTAGTCACTGAAGCGTACGCAATCTTTATTATCAATGACAGTCGATTTGACATGTCATACACTGAACTGGAACATGGATACCAGGTATAGAACTCATATTTATTTATTCTAATTCTAATTCTAATTCCAATTGTGTTTGAAAGCCATTGTCGGAATGAAATTAATTTGCACAAATTGTCTTAATTGTCAAATATTTAAATTTATTTTATATTTACCGTATGAAAATAATTTTAGATAAAACATAAGGATAATATGGCATTCTCTTAAGTATTTTTTAGTAAGATTTCTGATTATTGTATCGCTGTTTTAATTCAGGGTCTTAGGAGTGCAACAAATCAACCAATCTTCTATGTAGGTGACATTGGAACCGTACAGCAGGGTCTTGTTGGCCCAGGAGGTTCATCTATCTATCGTTCATCAAATCGGGTGAGTTTTGACATTTTCAGTTTGATCGCTGATTTTGTTAAACTCTTCTTTAAAAACTGAACCACATTATTAGTAAACTGTACTATCACATATACGAATTTTGTGTTCTAAAAATTACAAAATAAACGAAATTTTTTAAAAGGACTTCAAATAATTAACAACAAACATAAGGAATTATGGAATGCAGAAATACATCAACATCGTCAACAGAGGATCTTTGTTTTGTT